CGGTCGGATAACGGGTGGAGTACCCTTCTTCTCGGGTCGGGTGGTACAAAAACCAACCCAACCAATGTTCATCCCTACTTGTGACATTTTTATACCGTTTAATATTGTAAACTTAAAAAAATGTTATATATATATATATATATATTAATATTGCTTTGAATATTATGTAGAATTTAAAAAAATATATTATTTTATATAAACCGGTTTAACCCGGTTGAATCAGTGCACCAGTATCTTCACCGGTTTAAGATCCGGTCCAGTTTTAAAAACATTGTTGATAATACTTTTTAAGAATTGAAATTAATTTAAATTTGGGTTAAACTGTTAAAGAAAATTATGTTTGGTCATTGTTTTGGCATTAGCAGTGAAGACAGGAATGAGAAATCTTCATGGGATCTGTATTATTTTTGTAAGAAGCAGAGCAAAAGCACGTGGATAAAAGAGAGGGAGTGGGGGCATATGCATATGGGGCAGACATCTATTATTATAATCAATTGGTTTCTAAATTATACTTATCTGTAAAGATCAAACTCAATTTTCTAGACAAGAATCTAAACTTTTTATCCCACACGTGGAGGAAATGTTTAAGTTTGTGTAAATTACGCCTTTATAAAGTGTTTTAAGGGCAATACTCAAGTTCGTGTGTTTTTCAATAGTGCTATGAAAAAAAAATTAGATTTATCTGTGGATCGAATGGAATTATAATTATAATTTGTTTGAATCAAACCAATCTAATTACTAGTCAATTTAATCTATCTATATATCAAGGAAATAGGGAATTTAATTTATAATATTATAAACATATGTATTATTTAGTAATGTTGTCTGAAAGTACTTTTATATATAAAAAAACTCGTTCAGACTTTTGCCCGTGAAGCTAAAATGCAAAATGGGTAAAAATTGGAAGAAAAAAAATATGATCAAAACAATGGTTTCAAATTGACTGCAAAAGCTACAATTTTTAGTTTTTTCATTTTAAGTTTATGTTTAAAAGTAAATTTATATTTTTACCATTATTAATGTATGGGCTCCACTTAATTTTTTTATATTTTATTTTAATAATTTAATACAAATATCCTTTTAAAATAATTTATATTAATTATTTAAAAATAAATAAAATTCATGATTTATATATTAAAATATTAGAAGTGAGTTATATAAAATATATTTTTATTATAATTATATATTTTATTTGTATTTTTATATTTTTATTGTTGTTTAAATTGATATAATTCATATATGATAATATTTTTTAAAATTTATTATAATTTAAATCGATATAATTCATATACATGTGTAAATATAATTTAAATGTTATATTTTTTAATTTACAACATAATGTTTATAATGTACATTTTATCTTTTCAAACTCACTTTTTAACAGTTATCTCCAATAATTAAATTCTAAATTGCACTTTTAAACGTTTTTAGTTCATTTCTATAACACTTTTAAAAGTCACTTTTTAAAATCAATGCCAAACGGACCCTTAAAGTGAAAATAAGTATCTAAATTGCGTTTTTTTTAGGTACTTAAATTATTTTTTGGTCAAACTAAGTACTTAAATTGTTATTAATTAAATGATTATATTTAATTATTTAAGTCCTACTATTTTTAGTTAGAAATTATTTTTCGCCCAATAAGATGTTGACACGACATACAAAATTAGGTACTTGTTTTGACTAAAATAATTGGGGTTTAAAGCAAAAAAGGATATAGTTTAAGAACTTATTTTGATCAAAAATAGTTAAGATACGCAAAGTGGTTACATATAATTTTTTAGGGGCTTAAAGGAGAAAAGAGATATAGTTTGAGAACTTATTTTAACCAAAAATTAATTAAAATACTCAAAGTGGTTACATATAATAATTTAAGACTTTAACCCCCCTAATTTAACCAAAAAAATATAGGTACCTAAATAAAAAAAACCAAAAACGTAATTTAAATAATTTTTAGTTTAAGTCATATTATAAATTATTTTTCTAAAAAATTACTAATATACATTTTGGTCCTAACTGAACACTCCTTGAATTTGAAGGGAGGTGAGCCCAACAAATAGTTTGGGTTGAGTTGAGAAAAGTTTATAATGGAGTAAGAAAATGGTAGTCTAAAGGCCTCTTTGGACCCGAGAGCCTAACAATATCATCATCTGTTCCGCAGACTCAACGAACTTATTTGTTTACTATTTCGAAGGATTTGAATAAAAATATTAGTTATTATAAATATTAAGGAATTATATTAAATTTATTTATGTTTAATAACCTAAATAAAATTAAAAAAAAACTTGAAAGAAAAAAATATAGAAGTTGTGTTATTCAATTATAAATATAAATACGTCAAAGTAGAATTAATATTTTTAATTTAAATTAAGCCCGATTCGAATAAATATTTATAGTATTACTGGCATGTTTTATTCACCTTATTTCCATTCAGTGGCGGATGCCAAGTGCATCCCATTATTTTAGAAAAGTAGTTAAATTTATATTAATATGTTAAGGAAAAAAGAAAAAATTTACAATTTTTGCATACCCATTATTTTTAATAAAAGAAAATTAAAATTTTGGACCCCTATTCTTAAATTTCTAGATCGCCACTGTTTCCAATCGAATGAAATATTATACAAAGAACAAAAAAAAGAATAAGATCTAAAGAACATTGTTGGATGATGAAATTTCAATGCTTCAAATGGAACAATTCTTTAAGTGGAGCCACTTACTTATGTAATCTCAGTGATATGCATGCACAATTAGAAAGAATAACTAATTCTTCTTCTTCTTCTTCGTATTCGACTTGACAAATTACTCATCGATCAATCTCATTTCTGCATTTAATGGATTGAGAATTAAATGGCACCAAGCACACAAAAAATCCCTCCTTGGTGGTTCTACAATGATCTGTTGCTATGATGAGCCCTTCCCCTATAACTTGAACCTTTGGCACCAAGCACACAAAATCCCTCCTTGGACTGCACAATGATCTGTTGCTATGATGAGCCCTTCCCCTATAACTTGAACCTTTATGGCTTTGATGTGTTTCTGACCCTAATGTCATGAACTGTGTTTATATACTTACTGGATTTTCTCTTATATAGAGCATCTCTACGGATCCCCACTTTAATCCTCTGATTTCTAGGCTTCAAAGATCTTCTTAAGTGAACTCTTTTGTAGTTTCTCGATCGACCTGATAGTGAACGATTGCTTACCTCCATCGGTCTAGAAATATCATATGAAAAGTTTTCATCCTCGTCATTACGATCATCGAAATCTTCACTACTATCAAACTGATTCTCAGTTACACTTCTTCTTCGTCGGCGATTTACTCGCTTGACGTTTCGAAGCTTATAGCACAAGAAAGTACAACAAAATTCCCAGGATGAGAACCAGCAAGAAATGCATCCCCCTGCCATTCTACAGAGACTATGAGCAATGCATTGACATATACCCACTTATATAACAGATAAAGGTATAGGAGTACTGCAAATCATTGAAGGGACGAATTTAAGTTCTTCAAAATGAAAATGGAGATGAGATCTTAGAGTTGGAAAGAAATAAATGGTTGAAACATACCAATGTAGGATAGAACCAATACCATGATCAATTTCAATACATTGGCAACACAAAAATTCTCTATGTAACAGATTAAATCCCATGTTGGTCCACAAACTGAACTGAAAAAAAATATCATCCAAACATTAAAATAAGATTTTTCATCCTTTTTAAAAAAACAATTAATCGATTCATTGGACAAAGAAAGGGGAAATTCAGTAAACAAAGAATACATTGATAGTAATCAATGTTTAAAATGTCAAAAAAGAAGATCCGATCCACTCATGACGAAAAAACAAAGTATGAATTTCAAGAGAAAAGACACCATCGAAGGAATTTTACCTGCAGGATTTCCCCGAAAGAAAGTCGAGTGGAGAGTGAAAAATTTTGCCTATGGCGTCGACGAAGCCTGAGAAAACTGAACTGATTACTTTGTCCATCGTCAAAAGCCAATGTATTTCTTCTAGTTTCTGATTTACTGCGTCTGAGAATATAGAAGAATTAATACTAGTATAATATAATTTTAGAGTAAAACTCGTGTTTTCTTTCCCCCCCTGGCTATAATGTCTTTTCTTAATAGAAGTAACCGTTCACCTTCACAACCACCTCCTTTTTATTTAAAATATATTTTTAATTTTTTAATCTTTTGAGCCTGAAAATTAAAATATTATTTACAAAATATACATATACAGAGATGAGATCTTATATTTCTTAAATATAAGTTAGAGTTTAAGTCTCTCGATGTTTATGAATAAAGCAAGTTAGATTAAAATGGTCAACCTCATCTCTCCAGTGTTCGATCCGATCGATTTATAAATTAAATATCGATTGTTATAGTTAAATTTTAGTTTGTACTATATATTTCGATGGAATATTAAAATTATTTTTTGTATCTACTTTTTAAAAGATTATAAATGATCAATTTCGCAACATAAATTTATTATTAGTTTTCGTAAAAATGTCACTGATTTCATAATGCCAACTGTTAAACTATTTAAAATTATATTCAAAATTTTAAAAGTAATTTTATAAAATCAAAACAGTTGATTTTAAAAAACAAATTATATCACAAAATTAAATGATAAATGTTTTCTTTTCCAATAACATTTTGGAGATATGATTAGACCGTTTCACAGTTTTGATTACCTCAGGCGTAGGTGGTTGGGAGAAGTCCGGCGTACGCGTTGCGAAGTGGGTATTTGCTGCCGTAGGTGTCTTGATGTAGAGAAAGAAGAAAAGAAATAAGAAAAAGGTTTCAACTTTGGATTTACGATAAAGACTTGTGATTACGTTCTATTTTTCCTCAGCATCACAATGTTTGGACGTGTGATAGAGATAAATGGTTACAATTTAATCCGTCACTCACTTCGGCTTTCAAATAACCGATTTAACAACACTACTCTTTAAATAAATGATCATAGTCTCCCAAAACTATACAAACTCTTTTTCACGGTTCCTCAGAAAAATCCAAGCCCGACGACATCAGTCACGGGTCGGGGAGATGACCTAAAAGATAAAATGGACGAAGCCGGAGAGCTGTAGAATGGTGAAAATGACCTCTGGCTTGAAACCAACCATCGCGATTGTGTCTCGAGGTCCGAAACATAATTGGGTTCGGCTTTAAGTTTTCGGGTCCTCTTCTTGCTTCCCGTTCGCCTAAGCAACGGTGCCGGGAAGCACCCGTGTGAGACACATTCGGGTTGGATTCGGGCGGGTGGGTTGAACGGGAGACTCTCGGATCGGGCATTGGGTGTAGACCTAAAAGAGTGAGTTCGGGGCTCCGGAGATAGGTTGCAGTAGGATCCAGCTGGTGGAGGTTTAAGTTTTCGCTGAGTAGGTCTAGGCGGAGGAGGACTCGACGATGAACGTTGGTTTATAAAAGGCTGTCTCTGTTTCTGCCGCTGATGTTGGAGCTTGGGGACACCGGGTCGGATCTCCCACTTAAAAGGAACAGCTCCAGGCTTTCTGCAGGAATCATCGACTGCCATTTCAACTGAAAACAAATACTGAAGTACGAAGATACGATCGTAAAAAAAGCAGTTCTACCATCTGGATTGAGTCAGGTCTATATATATATATGTGTGTGTGTGTGCGCGTGAGTGATTTTAGGGAATTTAGTATTGGCGGGATTCAAGGCATGAAAGTGGGGCTGGTATGTTGTTGGGTCCATTGACCTCTTGGAGTTTTGACTTGGCAGTTTCAATCGAAAGTAAAAACATGAAGTGTAAACTACAGTCAAAGTGAAGCGTGTCGAGACAATTATTAGGAGGTATCCATTCAAAATATATTCGTACTTGTGATGATAGGCTATCATGTTAACAGGCCATTTGCAAACGGCAGAATTGGGTATTCTTCCCCCTAGACGTTGGTTCAAATGAAAAACAAACTCATTACTCTCACAATGGTTTGGTCCCATTCATGAATTTTCACTATACATAACGAGCACTGTCATTTACTCATTTTACTTCAATTAGGAAATCAAATGCTTTGTACATAACCTCAATTAGGGTTATTAAAGTTAACAGGACTTGTTATTTATTTAGTTTAGATTTAAAAAAAATTAATAAATATTTAAACTAGTAAAAACTAATATTACTATTAGAAGTAAAATTTTGAAGGGGACACGACTAGGGAGAGCATTCGATCGAGTCGAGTATAATAAAAATATTTCGAGTTATTCGAGTTGATGAGTCCTATTTTACAACTCGGAGTTGACTTGAAAGTTTTTTGAGTCGAGTCGAGTTGATTTTTCGAGTTTTTTTTTAATTTAATTGTAAATATTTAAAATATTATAATATTATTTGATTCTAATTTAAGTAACTTTCTATAACCATATATACAATACAAAAATATTTCTTTATTTTTTTTCATATTTGATATACATATATCATACAAAGTAAAAGGACTCGACTCAAACTTGAAAATAAATTCACTAATTACTAAAAATTTCGTGTTATTCGAGTTGTATTTTACAACTTAATTTGAATTTGAAATTTTTCGAGTCGAGTCGAGTTTATGAAATTATAACTCAAAGTCAATTCGAGTTGAGTTTTTTCAAGTCAAATCGAATTAAAAAAATCGGATTTTTCAAGTCGAATTAAAACTTTCAAATATTTTATGAATTTTGAACTAATTCACTTCAAATACAATGAGTTTATTTATTTTTATGAAAAGTGGATGCATGGAGAGATGAATTGAATTTTTTTCATAAAGAATGAGTATAAAATATTTATGGTAATTGTTTATCCCATCCTATCCCTATTATATGGAAGTATCATTCGTATTATATGCTTTAGCATTATCTATACTAATCAATCTTACACCGTCTGAAAAAAAAATGAATTAGTCTTTAAATTCAATGTTAGTAAAACAAAAATATGAGGGTCAGTTTGTTTCACGAAATATAAATTCTAGAAAATAAATTCCGTAAAATGAATTACATTTCAAAAAAAACATTTTATGAAAGTCATTTTACAGTATTTGAATGATATTGTATAATTCATTTTACAGTGGTTGGTAAATTTCTTAAAAAATCTTTATTATAAACATCAAATACAATGAATAATATTATTTATTAACAAAATACAATAATATTATTTTTAAAATATTAGAATAATTTATTTAATATTATTTATGTTAATATTACTATTAAAATATTACACTTGTAATCTTATAAATAAAATATTATGGTTATTATTTTATTAAAATAAATTATTATAAATAATTGTTAATTAAAATGAGAATAATATATTAATTATATTAATTATTGTTAAAATAATATTATTATTAAAAATATAATATTTAAAGTAAAAATATTATATTATTTTAAAGAGTATATATTAAATATTCAACAATTTAATAATATTTTTAATAAATTTAATAAATAATATTAAACTTATTAATAATTTATTATATATTATTAAAATAAAATTGTAATACAAATATTATAATAATATAATTATAACAATAAAATAAAATATTATATTATATTATATTATTAAAATATCAATAAATATAATTTAATAATTAATAATTTTATTAAAATTATATTAAAATAATATATCAATATTACATATATATAAAATAATAATGTTTTGCGTGTTTATGCTTTGGAGTGAAAAGTTCGTAAAATGACTTACAGAAAATTAGATGGTAAATGATGAATTACATTGATCATCTTTTTTCTGCCAACCAAACATTGAAAAATGATGAAAACATTTTTCGGAAAACCAATTACAGGGAAACAAACATACCCTAAATCAGTTGTTATATTCAATCTTGTTGATCTTTCCTACTTTAGACCTTTGGATAAGATTTTGATACTCGATTTGCGTTCATTGATAGTTGTTCATGTCGCTCGAGTCTGATTTACAGTTTGTCGGTGATAATTCAATAATTTGATCCCCTTTTGTGGTTCTTTTGCCGATGCGATTAGATCTGTTTGTATCTATATTTGTTCCAGTTTACTGGTTAGAATTTTAATCTTTCCATGTATAGTCCTTATGTGATCTTAAGTTGCTAGTTTTGTTTCAATGATTATAGGAAATTTTCCTAATTATATGTTTAATTTACTATTGCGATTATAAATCTTTATTATAATTTGGGATATTTTTTATTTTGAATAAAATTAATTGTCTTTACGAAAAGAAAAAAGAAAGAAAAAAAAAGTAAAACAAAATGTACCAACTATAAGGTGATGGTACATTTGACAAACAATATTCAGCTGCATTCATTCTGTTAGTGTAAGTATATTTTTACACATTGTCACATATTTTTATTTAATAAAAACCATGTTTCTCTAACATATTGGTATAATTTGTAATTATATATCTCTTAGACGTGTCTACTGAGGTTGGTTTGATGAAAAACATCGAGGCAGGCCAACAAATGATGTGATCTGATGTTGCTCCAGTTGTTTTGAAAATATTTATGTTCGATATTTGTGTTTAACATGTATATAGAAATTTAATCTTAAAATATTTTAAATAAAAAATTAAGAAAAAAGTTATTATATTCATTTTATGTATATCTTTATGAATCGTTCATGCTTAAATATGAAGATATGATTATGGTCAGCTAGCTAATACTGAAAACAAGGTGCTCGTTGCTCGACATAAACAAAAATACATGCTCGCTAGCGGTTTACATATACATGCTTTGGCTGGAGAAGGACCGTGGGAATAAAACGGCATCGGTTTAGTGTTTATATTTTCTGGCATTCCAAAATAAACATTTAAATTATACTTTTTCGTTTATTTTAAATACTTATTTATTTTATTAAAGTACGTGCTAAACGTTTATTTTGTTATTACTTAAAGATGTCTAAATCATTCTGTTACTGTTTTAAAGTCATATTGTTAACCAATTATTTTTTAATATGTGATATCAATTTTATTAATGTTTTTTTAGAATAAATTGTTTAGAGTAAATTGTAATTGTGGTTAATTACGTATACATTTATAAAAAATATAATTTGACCAACAAAAATATTTAGAATAAATTATAATTGTAATTATAAAAATATAATTTGGTCAGTAAATATATTTAGAGTAAATTGTAATAGTAAGTAAATTAATTACAATTAGATGACGCCACATTTCATCATTTTATTGGTTATTATTAATTTAATAAAAATAATTAATTTACAAATAGTTTTTTGCTGACATGGTGTCTTACGTGAACACATTAGCGGAATTTGTGATAGAGATTGGGGTGACCAACTTAAACATTAAAAATTAAGAGGTTTAAATTAAAATTTACAAAAAATATTTTGAAGGGTTTAATTTATATTTTTTCTAAAAAAAAGGGGTCTAACTAACTTTTTTTAAATAAAATTGAAAGGATTTATTAGAATTTTAAAAACAATGGAAGGGAGTTTAATTAAGAATTTTTAAAATTTTTAAAGTTCAATGAATTTCTAAAAAAAAATTGGGGCCAAATTAAATATTTTAAAAAATATGAGTCTAAATTATAATTTTTTAAATTGGTGAGCATGGTACTCAATAGTCTTATTGAGGTTTCGTCATTGGGTGAACATGTCACGTCAGCATGAATAGTTGATCGTTAATCAATTAATGATTTTTATCTGAATGTGAAATATTTTGCCTCAAAATGAAACGTTTGAGACCAAAATATTTTAAAAAAATAAAAATCAAAGTATTATTTTATCAAATATTACATATCAATTTTATCAATATGTTAAATAAAAATACATTCAAATCTTAGATTTTAAAGTTGGACTCCAACTCATATTATAAAGGAGTTTATATATATTGTACAAACTCATTTTCTTAGATGAATATTAAAAAAAATACTATTTTTTTAGTATTTTTTTTTAGCATGGCTTCGTGTTTGGGCAAATAACTTGACTCTTTTTTAACTATCGAACTAGTAAAATTTTGAAACATTTTTCGACTCATGAACTAGGTTTGTTTTGGGGGGAGGTTGTGAACCCTATAAGAATAATGAATACAGCACAAGTACGAAATAGCAACGTCTCAATTTGAATTTGAATTTTATATGTAGAGATGACTAGGAGCATAATATTAATTTATTAATCAACAGAACACAAACAACCAAAAGAAATTTCTAATGAACATAAATCAATGATGCAAATATGAACATCATAGAAATTTTAAATATTTCAAAATGTCAAATATTGAAAGTTTTAATTTTTTTTATTAATTTGGGGTAAGTAAAAGAACAAAATTTGTTCAGATATAATTTTAACCATTTAATATTGAACACTCACATTTATGATATTTCTGACGCTCGAACTCAAGATCTCAAAAATAATATCATTTTTACCACTAATATCGTTAGATTCGTATAAGTGTTATAGTTAATTTTTAATAATTTGTTATATACAAATCTATATTCGTTAAACAAATCAAATTAATATTATATTTGAAGTTTAAAACTATTTTTCATGCTGTGCATTAAATTCTATTCATATCTACTTTCCATGTAGAAGGACCTGCAAAAGGTAGATTATTCAAAAATCTTTTTGTTTTATTTATTTCTTTATATTATATTTACTAGGTGGTTACCATAGAATTGAAAAAAAAAGACAAGACAGATCTTCTGACCGTTTAAAATTCGAATTCAAAAAACCTACCTGAAGCGAAAGACACTTGGCTGTGACTTCTGTGCACCATCACCCACCATTCAAATCCACTCAGACCGTTGATAAACCAACCCCCTGATTTTGTGCTGCAAACGTGTCATCGTCTTATTGGTCTTCTGTGTGACCAATAAACAACTCCGGCTGAGAAAACTCTAAACAGAATCAGTGGTCCCCACACCACGCTCCTAACGATTATCGAGTGGGATCAACCGCTAAGATCTTTCGTTAATTCAAAGTTTCAAAGTGTTGAGAAAATTTCGAATAAAAACCGCCACCAGAGTTTGCTTCCTGCAATAGAAGTATCTCCTTCGAAAAAGAAAGCTGATGAGAATGTCGACGCAAAATGGTAACAATCGGCGATCGTCGTTTTCTTCGTCGACGACTTCGTCTTTAGCCAAGCGACATGCATCGTCGTCGGAGAACGTGGGAAAATTCACGGCTTCTTTGACTAAAAAGAGAGTCCCTCTAACTAACATTACCAACCAAAAAAATAGCTCAAGAAGCTCGGCTTCGGCCTCTTCTTTGGTGGGTCTTAATTCTTAACTTCTTTGTTTATATATTTGATTCTTTTTCACTGTTTCATGATTCTTATTTTCTGATACAATGTTGATATCAGATGTTTTCCCAAAGAACTAGAGAAAATTTGAAACTCTGTTCTCAATTTTTTTGAACTATACCTGGAAGCTGGCTCTGTTTACATTTAAGTAGAAACCCGTGATTTTGATTGATTATGGAACTAGCGCATATCATTTACATGTTTCTGTTGTTGGTTAAATCCAGCTTTTGATATTTTTTATTTTGAATTTCAAATGTGAAGGTACCAAGTTCAAACAAAATCTCAAAGGAAAAGAAGACACAATCTGTTGCAAATGCAGGTCTCCCAGGACATGTTCTTCCTCCTCCAAACGTTGGTCTCTCGGAACTTGTTCTTCCTCCTACAAACGTAAAACAAAGTTCAGTTTTGCAGCCCAAGATTGTTTCATCTTTTCAGTCGGAAAATGAAGTGGTGTCGCCGCCTTCAACATCACAGTGTATCATGGGGTTGTCTCCTAGTAAATCAGAAGGTTCATCATCAGTTTCAATGGATGAGACATTGTCCACGTGTGATTCTTTCAAAAGCCCCGAAGTGGAATACATGGACAACCGTGATGTTTCAGCGATCGGTTCCATGGAGAGAAAGACATTCAGCAATCTCTGCATTTCGGACCATGACGTACAAGCAGCAGGTCCAGGCATCATGTTGTAGATAATGTGTTTGGTTCTTAGCTTTCTCTTGAAACATACTCATTTGGGTTGTCATTGATTTCATAGCAGGAAACTTCTGCAACCGAGATGCGGTGGCAGAGAAGGAAAGTGATAATAAGCTAATGGATGTTGATAACAATTACATGGATCCGCAGCTTTGTGCAACATATGCTTGTGATATTTACAAGCACCTACAGGCATCTGAGGTATTATACATTTGAAGAAGTGATTAAATAAATAAGCAGGGCTCTAGAAAATGTATGATGTTATTTCTTTTGGTTTTCCAGTTGAAGAAAAGAGCTTCAACGGACTTCATGGAGACAATTCAGAAAGACATTAATTCCAGCATGCGTGCAATACTTATTGATTGGCTTGTAGAAGTAATTTTCTGTCTGTTTTTTTTTTAAGTTATATGCTTGATTTGTATCTTCTGTTGGCATAGTCTCTGCTGCCATCACCACCTTCATCCATTAACATTTATAGGATTCAATTTCAAATGCAGGTGGCTGAAGAGTATAGACTTGTACCAGATACATTATATTGACCATTAACTACATAGATCGATACCTTTCGGGGATATGTTGAACAGGCAACGGCTACAGTTGCTCGGTGTTGCTTGCATGATGATTGCTGCGTAAGAAATACCATCCTTCTATTTGTTTTGTTTCACTTTATATTATCACACCCTATGTCCTCTGCACTCTTCATTTGAAGAAAACTTGTAAAATTTTGAGTATATATTAACAAAAGTGTTGGATTTTATCAGTAAATATGAGGAGATTTGCGCCCCACAAGTGGAAGAGTTCTGCTACATCACTGATAATACATATTCCAAGGAGGAGGTTCGGCCTCTCAATTATTTGAACTACATGTTCCTTAGATGCTCTCTACTCTTATCAACTCTGAATGAGACATTAAAACCCTGTTTTTTCTACCGTAAAACAGGTCCTAGAGATGGAATCGTCTGTTCTGAATTACTTGAAGTTTGAAATGGCCGCTCCAACTGCAAAGTGTTTCTTAAGGTGATTCTTTTATCCCATCATTGATGGTTTCTGGTTTTCATGTTGCCAGTTATTAACTGTTTCGATCATTCAAATGGCATTTCAGACGGTTTGTTCGTGCTGCTCAAGGGATCAATGAGGTTCCATTAATGCAACTGGAGTGCATGGCCAACTACATTGCTGAACTCTCTCTCCTCGAGTACAACATGCTTCGCTATGCCCCGTCACTTGTGGCTGCATCGGCTATCTTCCTGGCCAAGTTCATACTTGTTCCAACAAAGAAACCCTGGGTATGTGCCAACCAGCGTGTAAAGGCCATGATTGTATTCTGGCATCAGTGTTCTGATCTCCATTTTATTATGGTGCAGAATTCTACCTTGCAGCATTACACACTGTATAAGCCCTCCGATCTATTCGAGTGCGTTAAGGATCTTCATAGACTGTGCTGCAACAATGACAACTCCACGCTGCCCGCAATCAGGGAGAAGTACAGCCAGCACAAGGTAAAAAAATACTAAAACATTTGGTTGCATCGAACTAATACTATGAAAACCATGTTCCTTTGCTGAAATGTGCTGCCTGCTTTTTTTTTGGCCACAGTATAAGTGTGTTGCAAAGAAGTATTGCCCTCCTTCAATACAATCAGATTTCTTCCACAACTGAACAAGGCATTTGATGACGTCAGCAGCGGCATAGGTGTTCCAATTCTTTGTTGGATAAAATGTTCCACTCCGCTTCTGAAATGAGTTCAGTCGGTAGTTCTAAATCAGCTGCGCGGATTTTAATTGAGGAGCCCACCGCGTGGAGTTGAGCCGCAGTCACGACTCACGAGCATTCTATAATGTAACTTTTATTACGTCGCAGCTCTTTGTCTGTTTCGTTGGTGTAAATTATTTACTTATCTATTTTTTATTTATTTTAAATTAAACTGGTAAGGTTGGTTAGGTCAATTTTATATTAAATTTGAGTTAAATTGGATAAAGAGAATCTATAATAAAATTATAAAAAAATGATAGTAATTGCAATCATGACGTCATTTAAATTTTAATTCTCAAATAAAAATTTATTTATCAAATCGAAACATATATGTTGTATGAATACTAAATTTGAATTATAACTCGCAAACGATTTATAATTTCAATTCCAACCAAATAAAAAATGGAGTTTAAAAAATAAATCTAAAGTGGGGGGCTTGAGAGTCATTGGAAGTCACTTCATCATTCAGCTCCTTTGTCTCTCCACAATGAATCTTGCTCTCCAAGGCAAAATCTGGTCAAAGAAACCTCTTTTACAAAAAGAAAACCCCAACATTTCACGCGCACTCTATCCCTCAACCCAACCTTTAGCAACAACTAAACTTTGAAGCGCTGGTGAGCTTCAACCATTGTTTGGATTCAGGGACGATGAGCTTCTTGAGACCGTGTGCTCTGTACAAGTCTCTGATAACTTTCCCTTCACTAAAATGGATGCCTTGCCAGAGCTGGGGTTTCCTTAGGTGGCCTGGTCTTGATGGGTTCTTTAGGTTCTTAGTCATCGCTCTTTTGTGGACCACGTTTTCAGAGATTCGTTTCATCCTTCTTCTTCATGTACCCTACTCTTCGTGTTGGTGATCGGATCATTGTCGAAAGGTAAAAAAAAATAGTCTTCCTTTCTACTGGTGGTTTTGTTTGTTTAGTAATTGTTAATTCTAGGAGATCTCTGCAGCTGAACTCAGTTTATGGATTTGTAGCTTTAGAAATCATGGAAATATGTGGCTATTTTAATCCCATTTCTGCCTTGCTTCAGATTGAATTCTGTGGATGATCTCGGTTTTGGTTAATTGTGCTATCATTTTTTTTTGAACTTCTGGGTAGCTTTTCCGAATTTGCGAGTGCTTTGAACAGCGACTTGATCTAGAGCGTGATTGAAATTATTTATTCGTTGTTCAATGGGCTTTCTTATAGGAGATTTTCAGTAATGTTTTGTCCAAAGATGGATTTGCTTACCCTACACTTTCTCTGCAGCTGAACTCAGTTTATGGATTTGTAGCTTTAGAAATCATGGAAATATATGGCTATTTTAATCCCATTTCTGCCTTGCTTCAGATTGAATTCTGTGGATGATCTCGGTTTTGGTTAATTGTGCTATCATTTTGTGTTTTTCTGAACTTCTGGGTAGCAGTTTTTCCGAATTTGCTGAGTACTTTGAGCAGCTACTTACTCTAGAGCGTGATTGAAATTCTTTATTCGTTGTTCAATGGGCTTTCTTATAGGAGATTTTCAGTAATGTTTTGTCCAAAGATGGATTTGCTTACCCTACACTTTCTGAGGAAAAGAACAATATTTAACTCTTGTTTCCAGATCAATATAAGTTTGTGAATCATTCGGTTTGTGTGATTGTTTCCATACATTCAATTCCCCAAAGCATAAGATCCTGAATTGACTTCAGAGGGAAATGAAAATGTCATTTTTTCCCGATTTCCAAATAAACCCTGTTATTTTTCTTAATGTTCTTCATATTAATGTCTCTGTTATTATAATAATTTTGCATGGTAACATGCATCTTGATTGGGATTGACTTAAGGGTAACGCTTCTGAATTTTCTTATACGCACCATAGTGTTTTTTATTCTCATTTTAGCTCACTTTGCAACTTGTCCAGGCCTCGTACTTCTTCAGAAGTCCCGCTATAACGATATCGTAACATTCCGAGCTCCAGATCAGGTTTGTTGCTTTTGTATAGCAATGTTGCTTGGGGCTTGAGTGTGAGTGTTGAATAAGGGCTAACTGGCTAGCAAGCAGTAGAAAACCTCATACCGAAGTATTCTTATCTTGATATTGTTGCTACAGGAGCCTGGATTTGGGAAGGATGCCGTTTTCATTAAGAGAATTGTCGCAAAGGCTGGTGACTTGGTTCAGGTATTATTGAATCAAATGCAACTTTATGAAAAGTTTTCAAAGTTCCTTTATAGATCAGCACCTAGTATCTGCAAGACAGTATCTCATACAAACTGCTAAAAACAATCAAATTGAGGCAATTTTAACGTTGAAGGCTCTTCATCTTCTTCTAAAATGTCCTCTTACGCTATGCAGGTTCATCATGGGTCACTCTATGTCAATGGTGTTGAACAACAGGAAAATTTCATAGCTGAACCACCATCATACACATCAGACTTAAAGGTGAGTCCCCTTTGTTGTCTCTCCATGTATTCCTGAGTTCTCCAGCATTTCCTTTACTTTTTTGCATTAAATGTGAGTCCTGGTGGACTCCATGACCCGAATCATTTTAGTTTTGAGTTTATCATAGGACTTTGGGTGGTGCACTATTCAGAATTGTTGTTTCGTGCTGACTGCATTGTGTTTCTTGGATCTGTAGTATGTTCCTAATGGTCATGTTTATGTGTTGGGGGACAACCGTAATAACAGCTACGACTCTCATAACTGGTAAATCAGCTAGATCCTCTTTTTTTTTTTAGTTTCTTCTGTGTTCAGCTCTATTTTCTTTTGTTCTTTATGATGCTTGGTACATGGATATAGTTTAGAACATACTTTATCCCTGAAGGCTCCTGCAGAGCTTAACGATCCGTGAGAGCATCTTCTTGAATGTTTTGATTTGGCTATGATATTCTTTGTTCCTCTTTTGTACATCATTTGAAATGTGAATTCATGATGTAAATGCAATCATGTCATCGATGTTGATCGATAACCAGGGGCCCTCTGCCGGTGGAAAACATTGTTGGAAGATATGTGCTGTGCTGTTATAGACCTTCCAACCATAGACCTGCTGCAAGTTCAGGGATGAACTAGACAGGCCAAACTTTCTCCAACTCTTGGCAAAGCTGGGATGTAGATACACGGAGTCGTGTTTTGCGGTGTCTTGTCGCTAGTTCTTTTCAATGAATTTTCATACCGATGCTATCAATATAAGCTTGTTTAGTATGATTGTGGATTGTTGAGAGTTCAGCAGCAACTGTAATAGAAGGTGTTTATTTTATACTTCCTAAGAACGATGGGGCGTAGGGCTCAACCTTAGAATCCAGGTTAGAGTTAATTAAATTGGAATTTGATTGTTGAGTATTCTTTTAATGCTACAAATGAGACATAATAATTGGGGGGAAAGGTCCGCTAGTAGGTGCAAAATCAGAACCCCCCCCCCCACCCAAAAAAAAAAAAGAAAAAAGAATACGATCCATCGAGCACAACTCTGCATCGTACAGAATGCACATGGTGCATGACCAATTCAACCCAACCTTCTATCAAACCCCAATTGCACAATCATTATCATGTCCATAAATTCTCATTCAATTGAGGTACATTTACATATAAACATATTTGCATATAAACATATTCCATATAAATTCGAGAACTAAACATTTAAAACTAAGTTTTAGTATTTTTTATTTTTTCTATTTTAATTTTTTGTAATTACTTTTAAAACATAATATAATAATCATTGTATTATTTACTAAATTAATAATTTTAAAATATATATTTGCATATAAACATATTCCATATCTAATTGAGGTACATTTACATATACAGTACGAAAAACATTTTAAAATTACCGATAAACTGGAACATAAGAAAGAAGAAATGGAGAGGCTTGTGTTCTTCAAAAGAAGAAATGGAGAGGTTTGTGTTCTTCACATGGCAGCATTAAGTCATTTGATTGCATACAAACTGGAATCCACTAATACATTGCTTTTATTTTTTTTTAAACTAAGCAAAATGGAGAGGAAAACAACAACGATTCCCAAATTCTTCATTCAAATGGAATCAATAGTAAGCCAGTAACAAGTGAACGACAGTGATGTCTAACAGAAAATTTCTAAATTTGACATTACTGGTGACTGTTCCTTGCATCTAGTCCTAATAGCACAGCCAGGCAACCTTCTAATCAAATAACTTTTATTCTGAGGACGAATGATATTTTAACTCAGTGCCTCTTTGTTTTCGATTCAATTTTAGAAACTGACACTCCTGAAATCTTGTTGATCTCATATAGTAATCCAGCTGAGAACAAGAAACTGCATTCAACATCAAATATAAAGTCGGTCATTAGTGTGCACATTTGGACACAAAATCCAGATGAGAACAAGAAACTGCATTCAACATGAAATATAATGTCGAGCGATAGTGATTTTCCATTATTTGTACAACTACTAACAGTCCATATTATTCATAACATTTGTCAATAGGATTGTTTAAGGTTCAAATCCATCACCCTGACTCCACCAAGACTCTATAAGAGAACTGTTCAAGTTCCAACAGTAACTACCAGTTTTTCTCTCACATTGGGTTTGTTCCCAGGTGGTAAACATATTATTCCACCCACATGGTTTAAACTTACCCAACGACGCTGTTAATGGATTAAATGATTCCATAAAGCATGCACGGTAGGAGCATGAAGTAAAATGCAATAATGAGACACTAATTGACATTACCATTAGTGATACACACTCGGTGAACTGAGCTAGCAGCAATCAGTGCAACAGCTTCTGCTAATATGATTGCCAAAAAAGAAAGAGATATTCAAGTTCATCAAAAATTCTCAGAAAAGAAGCAAGTGCATTGCAAAATTTGTTAGAAACAACATGCTAGTTACTATGATAGATTCTTAAATTCCATTTTCAATGAAAAACCATGGTTTCTTCCCATAAAGAAAAAAAAAACAATTGTCGGGTTTTATTGAACTACAGTAGCTATTAGCGAAACAAGGAATTAATGGATTTCAAATATCAAACATCTGAGTTTCTTACTACTTTTCAATTTCAGTAGTGAACCTCATGAGCCATGAATGCACTATGCATGCTATATTTTCACCAAGGGAAGTTACATGACAGTATAGAATGTTAAAAAGGCCTTTTTCTCTCTGATCTTTATTAGTAATATCTCACAACAACAAATTAAAATAAAAACAAAACAAAAGCCGACAAAATTAATTAAAAGGTCTCGATAGGCGTACCATCACCCCAACTGGTCCTAGTCTCATTTGACTCCTGGAAATTCCCAATGAACTGAAAGGAGAGAAGGCAAGAAAAATAGAGATTAAAATGCCGAATCAAGCAATGCAAGTCACAAAAGAACGCTATTCAGTTCTCAGAGTTCACATTGTAATATGTTGGTTTTCACAACATCAACATATAAAATCATATGAGCGAACTAAAACCATAAGTCAGAACATAAAACAAACTGGGTGATAAATAAATAAATGTGAAACAAAATACTTTGAAATAAAATCTGATGGATGTTTATATTATCGGGGTCGAGTGTGCATACCTGGTAATGAAGAATTGAAGAAAGATATTATTTCTGAAGCTCATTATAGTCCTTTGACTATGCATCCATGAGGAAATAAAATATATCAAGTTCGAACAATTGATATTGGTGGGCATGTATGAAAGGCTATAACTGAGTTTGTATACCTGTCAGCAAGTAAAAGCAGAGCATCAGGTGACATATGGTTTGCTATAACCTATTTCCATTCCTCATTGGAAATGGTAAATAGTTACCATGGATTTTGTAATAGGTTTACCTTTGACACCCAGTAAGAAAGACTCGATCTAGGTGATTGTGGATAGATTAACTAAGGCAACACACTTTATTCTAGTTCAAGAGAATTACTCGATGGATAAGTATGTAGAATTATATATCAAAGAGATAGTACGACTTTATGAGGTACCTGTTTCGATAGTTTATGACAGAGATTCGAGATTTACTTCGAGATTTTGGAAGTCTCTGCATGAAGCCTTGAGAACTCGACTAAACTTCAACACAACTTATCATCCTCAGACAGATGGTCAATCTAAGCGAACCATTCAGATACTTGAAGACATGCTAAGGACGTGTGTTATTGATTTCAAAGGATCATGGGAAAAATATTTGCCTTTGGCAGAGTTCGCTTATAATAACAGTTATTAGTCGAGTATCAAGATTGCTCCTTTCGAAGCTATATATAGACAAAAATGTCGAACACCATTGAATTGGTTTGAACTAAAGGATCGAGACATAATTGGTCCAGATCTGATCAAAGAAGTTGAAGACAAAGTGAAAGAAATTTAAGATAATCTCAAGATAGTTGCTGAAAGAAAAATCTTATGTTGATTTGAAAAGAAATGAGATTGAATTTTTAAGAGGGTGATAAAGTATTTCTTAAATTATCACCCTGGAAAAAAGGTTCTAAGATTCGGGTGCAAAGGAAAGTTGAGTTCGAGATTCATTGGTCCATACGAGATTATAAATAGAGTTGATCTGGTTGCCTACCAATTAGCATTACCTCCGAAAATGGATAAGATTCATAATGTGTTTCATGTATCGATGCTTCGAAAGTATCGATTGAATCCTTCTTATGTCCACCGGAGGAAATTAAATTTCAGCCAGATCTATCGTATGAAGAAGAACCAGTAAATGTTTTAGCTCATGGAGTCAAAAAACTGAGGAACAAGTCGATTCCATTGGTGAAAGTTCTTTGACGGAACCATAAAGTTAAGGAAGCGACTTAGGAACGAGAATAAGACATGAAAAGACAATTTCCTCATCTTTTTACTCCAGGTATATAGATATGTATAGAAAATTTGAGGACTAATTTTCTTTAAGGGGGAGGTATTGTAATACCCCAAATTTTGGCTAGTGACTAAAATGTAAGTTTTGAAAGTTTAGTGGCTAAAGTATAAACTTTGAAAAGTTTAGAGACCAAAATAAAATTTTAAAAGTTTTATATTTTAGCGTGCAAATGAACAGTTTGGCCTAAAACAAGAATTTTTGTGGTAATCAGATTTTCGGTAAGAAATTTGTGTTAAAGGTTATAAAGCGTTAAAGTTCAATATAGAAATCGGATAATCGGATCGAGTCGAAATTTCACGAAAAAATTGAAGGATGTTATATAATGGTTGGAAGTATTATTTCCATATTTTTTATCAGATAAATTTAGCTCAGACCAATGTAATTTTTCGGATTTGGCCAAACAATGGAATTTGAGTAACTAAAATACAATTTTTGAAAATTGCATGACCAAAGTAGAAAGTCAAAACCAATCTGATTCATCTTTGACTATGGAATATTTTAATGGAAGATAATATAATAAAAATTGGTAATTATCAAGTTTCATTAATGGTATTTTTGGGATTTCTCATTAATTGAATTTTAAATTCAATTATATTATAAAGTAGCCATGTGTTAAGGTTGTTAAATACTAGAATAATCAAGAAATTAAACACATTTTAAGCTCTTGAACAATCATAGGTTGAAACTTCACTCTTCTCTAAGGTAAGATTTTATTTTTGATTTTTAAGCTTACATGATTGATTTTTGGACTAAGTTGTGAAATAGAGAATTAATCTACATGAAATTCTCTATCATTTGGTATAAATATTACATGGTGAATATGCTTGTATGTTGAGAATGAGAATTAAGGTTTATGGATTTTAAAGAATTGATGAAGGATTTTTATATTTTTGATGTTGGAGATTAATTTTCAAGCACGTGTGATGTTTAAAATCAAGTGTAGAGTGATCTAAAGCTTTCAGTCATAACCTAGGATTTTGAAGAAAAATTTATTTGGTTTAATTATGTTAGGGGTTTGATTTTAGAAGCTTAGAAATGTTGTTTAGAGGTTGAATTGATGCTTGAATCAAGTAGGAAAATATGAAATCCCTACCTTATAGTATTCGGTCATGAGGAAAATTTGGGGGGAATTATTGAAAATTTTCCTATATTCTATAAATGATATTAGAAGTGTTCTATGTGATTTGGAGATCAATTTGGAAGCTTGAGTTACTAAAAGGGCTAATATATAAGTTTTAAAAATTGTGGGATATTATTGCAAGAATGTGAAATTTGGGGTGTTCAATGTTAATTATTAACATTGATATTCTGGAATTTTAAGTTAGAAAGTTGATTGGAATCAATTTATAAGTTTGGTAAAGTTGAGGGTGAAATTCGAAAAGTCTCAATATTATAGGGACTTGATTATAAGTTTATTAAGTGTAGAAGTATCG